GGCCTTGTTTACTCAAAGGGAGGAGGAAGGGGGAGGGAGAGGAGAGGGGGAGGGGGAATCAGCTCTCCCCCCCTGCTTTCCCCCCTTGGATTTTTTGGGGGCTGGTGCAGTTTAAGGCAGAGATTTTAAGGTGGATTCTGCGAAAGTTGCGCGTCTGCTTTCAGACTTGATGCAGACGCCACGAGTCGAATGGTTTGTCTCCAAAGGGCAGCGCCTCCCCATTGGTCAGTCGCCCCCTGACGTCACAGGCGCACGGCTTCTACTGGCGTGTGCGCGGCTCCCCGAGTTCTTCGCCTACCTTCGGCAACTCCAATCCCAGCCCCGAGCTGCAGCCGGGGGCCGCGTGGTGCGGCGCCCAGGGCCGCGAAGAGGGAGGCGCCTCGGTCCTGCCGGCCGCAGACGCTTCCCGCCGCAGCTGGTGCCTCAAATGCCTGAGCCCCAGTTACCAATATCGCAGTCCTGAAACAGCCTGGCTGGGGGCTGCTCTCTCAAAGCCCCTGGCACCCTTGCAGGCGGCTGCCTAAGCTCAGAAGCAGTACCCCCCTGCATTTAAAGCCAGGCCTCCTCCCTTGACCTTCGCCCCACCCCATTCCCACTACACTCCCTGGGGAGCGTCCTGTCACCGTGGATTTTTCTAGGCGTACTTTATGGGAACCACAGTGGGAAGAAGAACCCCCACACCTGGGCTCCACCCCATTGGGGGGTGGTAAAGAAAAAGAAAAATCAGACCCTGTTATGGCGAGGTCCATATTTCCTATGTATTGGACCAAAAAGGGGGAGGGTACGGTGTCTTTTTCCCCCCAGAACGCAGCAGCCTGTTCTGAAAGCGAATGGTTGGAGGACTGACAGTAATGCATTTTTTCCTATTGAAAACAGAAGCTACTGTAATGCTTTCAAATATATGCAAATGATACATGCGGTTAGTGGTTTGGCAAATCTTGATTACAATATAAACTACCCAAGTAAAAGTACCTTCGTCCTAAATTTGTCTCTCGATTACAATTCCAATTGATTTTATTTTATTGTCAACATTGTTAATGATAAAAATAGAGTCGTTTTACAGTTATTTTTACTTTCTGGAAGGAGGCAATTAGAGTTCTAATCAGGAATACACAAAAATCTCCCATGATTAACTGCAGTACTTTGTTCAAATTGCTGCTATAAAATTCAGAACAATTTGCCTGTAATGATTATGGACTGGGTTTATTTTGGGAGGTGGAATAAAAGTGGATATAGCATAAATTATCCTCTAATTATACACCAGTGTCGCCTCAATTATCCTCTTATCAAAATGGTTGTCTAACTGCCGCATTTAGTTTCAATTCTCTCCTTTTTTTCTATAAAAAGAACTTCATACCTTGTTATTATTAATCCATTTATTATTTGCAAGGGGATTTATATCCGCACATCCAGGTGGTAGAACCACTTCTCTTTCAAAGATGGACTGGGGAAACACATTAAGTTCGGAGCAGCCCAGGGCTGTGGATCTAGCCTTTCCCCCTCCGGTCTCCAGACCCACTCGGGTCCAGACAGCCAAGCAGAGACATCGGCGCTGGGGCGCACAACTCAGGCCGGCCACCAGGTAGGAGAGCCGAATCCCGGGGCAGGAACCAAGGAGGACAGACCGGGCCGTTCCGGGGTCCCAGGTTCCGGAACTGCGGGAAGGCGCTAGGAGCCCGCGTGGCTGGAGAATCGAGAAAGGTGAGCAAGACCTGCAGACCCTCGCGTTCTCAGCACCGGCTTTCGGGTCTGCTCAGACTTACGCTGCGAGCTTTTGGCCACACGCAGAAATGTATGATTTGACAACCCTGTGCCCCTGTGTGCCGAGTTTATGGGGACGAGTCTCAGTGTCCCTTTGGGAAAACCACCAGGAACTTCTCTACACTCTACTTCACCTGGACTCTGTAAGTTACGGGACCCAAGGAACCCGGGGAATGGAGAATATAGTGGTGCCGATCGCCTCTGTAACTACAGAAAAGGGTGGCTATGGACGGAGCTACTAGGAATATTTACACACCGCGCTCAGCTTGTCGGCAGCGGCTTATGCTAATTGATTTCCCAGCTCCCAGCTTGGGATCTACAGGCATCTTCAAACCAGTTTGCCTTTTCTTTTTTTCTTTCTTTCTTTGTTTTTCATTCCTTCAATTTATCAGAAGACCTGAAGCTGGCTGCGCGGATTTTCTCCAGAGTTCCCAGGGCAGCAGCGTTTGCTCTCTTCTACCTCCCCCCTCCTTTTCCCAGCTCCCGGAGCTTAACTTCTTGAGTCTCGGGAGCCGGTTCAGTAACTCTGAATTCATTTTTAAGTGGCGTGCCTTGTTCCCCTCCTTTTAACAAGAGGTGCACTTTAACACGCGAACCAGTAACTCGATCCACGCGTTTACAAATCGGCAGTGAATTAAACAACAACAAAAAAAGCTTCAAGGAAAATGAAAGGTGGGCTGGTAAGGGGGAAATTTGGGGTGGTGGTGGGGAACAGAAAAGGAGATCAGGAAAGAGAAGGCTCCCCACCCCCTCGGCGCGCTCTCAGTGCACCCGGGCTGCGCGCCGAGCCTGTTTGTAAATGTCCTCAAAGCCAGCAGGTAGACGTGGCAGTTTTATTGCTTTATACCCTGCAGCTCGGTGTTAACACGGTGAAGGCGCTCCCCCCCCCCCCCCCCCCCCCCCCCCCCCTTTTTTCTCTTCTGCTTTTTTTCCCCCCCCCCCGCCCCGCGCTTGTCTTTTTCTGTCTTCATGCTTGCAGGTGCACTGCTTTCCTCCCCGACTTCCCGAACTCGGGCGGTACCCTAAGCGGGATGGGTAGAGGCTGTCCGGGAAAGGTCCCAGTACTTGGGACCCCGACCCAGCAGCCTCGATTATATAAATACATAAATATTATTATTATTATTATTATTTGTTAATGCCTGAGGATGCCCGGAAAACTGAAGTTGTCAGAGTGGCAGCTTCAGGGCTCTCATCCGTCCCCTAATCAGGTGGTGGCTAAAATCTCGGCACTCCCGTTCAGCAGAGCAAACGTCCAGCTGCACCAAGGTGGCAGTTGTTGCATATATATGGTAGAGATCCTGCTTAGACCTGCTTGGTGACCCAGGCTGGGCTCAGAGACCATTGGGGCTGGAGACCCTTTCAGTTTAATAGAGGTCTTTGTATGCTCTTGCATGATAAAATCCAAACTACAGGCAAGACCGTGCACTTTTCTGCCAGTTCCTGTTATAGAGAGCCTGAGAGCTA